TGTGTAATATGCTAATTAGACCGGACAGCCAAATGACCTTCCAGATGACCTTCCGGACGAAGCTGGGGCTGTGAGGGCCAAGGCAAACTGCTGCGGTTGTGAGGGCTGAGCCCCTTGCATGAATTTCATGCATCGGGCCTCTAGTATTTTATATATTTCACAATGAGCTTATTCTATTTGATGGTGAGCCACAATGGGTATAGAATTATTTTGAATGGTTGTAATTTCTAAATTATTAAAGTTTATTTAAAGCACCAGGATGAAATAAACAAAGATGGAAAGTATAAGAGTTGTTGAGACCACATTAAGAGAATAGAGCCTATCCATAATTATGTGTTTTTAAATATCATATGTATATTAGGATAATACTCAGGCCATTGGGTTTAAATAGTTCTGGTACTTGACCTTTGATACTAAGGAAAAAGGAGAAAGAGAAAGGAATAAAAGGAGGGGGGAGGGAAGGAGGAAGGAAAGTTAGTAGATACCAATATAAACTTGAAGAAAGCCTACAGGATGCCTTCTCCTTTCTCCAAGCACCAACCCAGTTCATGAACAGGTATACGCCAGACTGTCCAGAAGAAAACAATGACCGACTTCAAAATTAGATAAATAGGTTTATTTTATCAAAGCATGGTGGCGAGAATAAAATCTCAGCTGCCCTCTGAAAGCGCAGCCCAGGTCTGTGTGTATGTGGGTCTCCCCTGTCTCAGAGAGAATTTATTCCTTATGCATTCTAATATATTGTAAATGGGAACAACAAGAGTGTTTATAGTTGTAGCAGAATGTTATTTAGTTGCAAATAAGAAGCTTCACTAAAACTAGATAAACAATAAAGAGTAGAACTCCAGTCCCAAGTCAGTGGCTCAAACAATATCATTGATATTCTAATTGCTTTCTGTTTCTCCACTCTGCCTCTGGGTAGGATTGGCTTTTCCCTAAAGGTGGCATCCATCATGGTTGCAGGATACCTGCCAACTTACCTCTGGGGTCACAGACTTCCTTATCCATATGCAAAGAAGAAAGAAAGAGGGTTATTCCCAATCACTTTCTCAGAAACACAAGGAGCCCTCCTTTCTGAGAGCCTGTCCTCACCCAAGCACACACAAACCTGTTCTTACACATTCTTGTCCCCAGTGGATCATATTCCTACCTACACCAGTAACTGTGGTCAGGAAAGGGGGAAGATTCACTCACTTCAGAGATGCAGACTTTCTCTTGAATTCAAAAGAGGAATCATCTTTCCCCAAGGATTGACATAGATACCTCAGTAAACCTGAAGATTTTCTATGGGAAGGAGCATTGAAAACTGGTGAAGCAATCACGGTGCACATTGCAAAAGGTTTCCTGTATGCCTGGTAGTTTACTCCTGCGGTTCCAACAACTGCACCGTAGCTCTTTCCCACTGCAACAAACTTGGATGGGTAGGGCCATAATTCTGAACATTTAGTGTTCCTAACAGTCACCTGCTGAGCTTTCTAAAAATGCAGAAACCTGGGCTGACACCCCAAATTCAAATTCAGTAGATCTGGGGCATTGTAACAAACACCCAGGGTTATTCGTGATGGGCAATGACTTAGCTAAATTATGTATATATCACCTTTTTTTTTTTTATCACCATAATTTCCATGCATCCTTCTGCATTGGGACCAGGCAGAGCAATACAGATGCTGGAAGACGGTCTATCCTTGCTGCTTGACACAATCGCTGCAGGGAAGAAACATCTGCACAGCATATGTTTCAAGGGACCAGGTGTATATGGCATATTGTTCTTAAAATGTTTGTTCCCCTTCTTAGCGCTATGTGTTTTAACCAAGGTCACCTCTCCAAGAAAGGTTGTTTCCCCAGGTGGGGATTTTTTCCCTGAGTTAGGGATTAACAGGACTAAGGAAGGGAATAGAACCCCTTAACTAAGTGCCAGGCGGGTGATTAATCACTTTAACTACAAACAATCACTTAGGGTAATCTCCTTCAGTTACTTCCTTGTAGCTTAACAGAACAATAGAGTAGTGACCTTAGAATGGAGATAACAAACGCCCTAACTTTTGGAATAGAATGGATAGGATTAAAATCAACTGATATAAATACAGATGTAACAGGACAATAAAGACCGAACCTGGCTAGAACCTGGCTAGAGAACCTGGCTAGGCTGTTGATCAACTGAACACTGTCTCCGTGTCATTCCTTCTTCACTGACTCCATCCACATCTTTGGGAATCCCTGGACCTGCTGGGGTTGGACCCCAACATACAGAATCATTTGTTAGTTTATGTTCATTCTGCTTGGTGCATGTATTTTCAGGATTAGAGGAACTTGCATATGAAACTAACTTTTATACCTTCTGTGATACTTATTTCACTTAAATATCACCAAATAGGCTTCTTGTGTCCATTTTGAGGCTTACATGTATTTGTGGGGATCTAGCTGCCATCTGTTAATAGATCATGACACTTCGGTTAGTAATTCAGTTAGTGTACAAAGCCATCTTTGTCAGAGATCATGGAAACAGTGAATTAATACCAATGTTACCCCTTCTATGTGCTTTTGTGAGTGTGTGTGTGAGCACTCACACACACATGTATTATAGTAGCATAAATATTGGCTACTGACATCTGCATATTACAAGGAACCAAAACCATAGGGATGATGCATAGGAATACAGTTTTATGCAGACTTGTATACCTGTTGACTCTAATGTGTTAATTTGTAAAAAGGAAACTTTCAGGTATTACTGGTTCAAGTGTAGGTTAGTATACTAGTTGCCCCAGGAGCTTTAGTTTTAAGGCATTTCTAATTGCCAGGACTTCTATAAAATTGAAACTGTGTTTACGTCAGTGCTTGCTCATTCTTTCCTAAAATTCCTTGCATATCCATAAACGATTAAGGAATAAAACTTAGGCTTAATCTTCCTTAGGCATCACAAACTTAGGATATTTTATTTAACTCCGTAGTCACGATTTCACCTTCCTATATCTAGCCCTGGATGGGAGGGGGCTTGAAGTTTCCCAGGGGGAGCTTTATTTTTCTAGGGGTTTTCTCTCTCAGACCCTACATCCAGCTGTTTTATTTGTGTGTGTGTGTGTGTGTGTGTTTTCACCCATGTGCTTACGTTCAACTAACATTATCAGAGCTCTAGTCAGTCCTGGTTTCATGACCATTTCTGCCTTCTTCACTTTTTCTCAGTGGATATGGAATCAGCACTTTTTGAGACACTAAGGCAGAGTGGAAAGAGCTTGGTTTTAAAGTCACACTGACATGAGCTCAAACGCAATTGACCTTAGACAAATTGCCCAGTCACTCTGACATCATTATCTTCATCTTTCAAATAAGAGTAGTTTTCATCTCATTGATTGCTTTATAAATTGAGTTCCACACATAAAGTGATTAGTCATAAGTGCCTCCCCCCGCCCCCTTTGAATCTCCAGCCTCTTACTGACAACAACCCATCTAAGTCAGTACTTCCACAAACTCCTATGGTCTTTTCTTAAACAAGGAATTCCTGGAAGTTACCAATAATTTTCCTCTTTGAACATGTTATGATATATTTTGGACGTGATAAAGAAGCTTACAGCTTTTTAAATATTTATGTTCTCCACGCCATGCATGCCAACTGTGCTTGCTCTCTTCATTTGTTTACGTGCCAAGGAGACAAGCCAAGCAGCGTGAGAGGAAAATACTGTCAGGACACAAAGTGAGTTTGTCTAATGTGGACTCTCTGCAGGCGTAACCTTAACGGGAAAGAGTGGAGACTGCTCCCTGGTTGCACAGGGCTACCTTGATTAACGAATCACCTGGGAACAAAGCTCCTTTATAAGCAATTCAGCTGAGTAAATTTATATTTTAAAACTTCATGAATCAAATGAAATAGTGCTGGCTGGTGTCACATATTTCAAGAGTAATATTCGGGGTAAGCTGCACTTGCACACGGAGCAGAAATACCTACTCACAGAGTGTCTATTAGGATAAAGGCGATGGGGTGGATTCTAGGAAAAATTGTAAAGCTACTTCAGATAAACTCTTTTTTCACTATTGTAATCACCATGCTCCACCCCTACATACACCCAGCCATAGATCATTACCCTGGAGTTTTGCTGCTCCCTTTAAAAACAGATATCAGAATGATTCACACTTTGAGTTACAGTTCATGTTACCTTGTATTGATGTTACTTAGTCATATCTCAATCCTGGCTAGAATTTGGTGCTGCTGAAAGAGATTCTGACTTAACTGGCTTGAGAGGGGACCCAGAGTTGGCATTCTAATACAGATTCAAGGTTGAGAACTACAGCTTTAACATAAAGTTGTATTTTCATCTTATGGCCTCTCCTATCATAATATCCATGTTTATCTGCTGCAGTGGGCTGTAGAATTCTTGTGTCAAAAACACATGGGTAAGTTTATAATAAAGGTTCCTGTGGCCTCAGCAAAGAATCACTACTACTGAATCCTGAGATATGTGGTAGATGTGAGTGTGTTGTGTGTGTGGTGCATATATATGTGTGACAGGGGCCCCCGGGGAGAACTAGAATATTTCTGCTTAACCAACAACCAAAGTGATTCTGTCTCACTCTTAAGGTTTAATAACTTTTATCTTATTTATAATTTCTATCTCATGGAACAACTTAATTCTTTTTTGCTAATAAAAAGTTCCAACAAGTGGTTGACATTGGGCTATTTTCATGATATGTATAACATATTTTAAACAATATTAGTTATAATAATTACACTCTAAATAAGGTCAATCTTATTTGCAAAAGGAAAGAAAAATCAAATTTATACATCAGAATGGTCTTTTCCAATATATACATATTTTGAAGTACGAGTGTATATTGTTAATTTAATGTAAATACCCATTAATCTGTCATTACCTAATTATCTAATGACAGATTTCTAATATATACACTAAATTTCAAGTTAAGAACTTGTGATCATTGTTTAGAAATATGAAATCTCAATCTCTCTTTTTCTGTCTCTCTCTCTCCCTCTGCTCCCCCCGACACTGTAGCCTCAGATGAGGAAGAGCCAACTTCAGCAGGTAAAGTTACTATTCTGTAAAGATTATTCTTATTTAACTTAATACTATTAATAATGGAGGCACAATCCTTTGAAGTGCATGTCCTAAGCAGTGGTTCTCAACCTGGGGGTCGTGACCATCGGAAACCACATATAGCATATCAGATATTTACATTACGATTCATAACAGTATCAAAATTGCAGTTATGAAGTAGCAACAGAAATAATTTTATGGTTGGGGTCACCACAACATGAGGAGCTGTCAGAACAGTTTGTCTAATGTGGACTCTGTGCAGACGTAACCTTAACAGGATCGTATTAAAGGGTCGCGGCATTAGGAAGGTTGAGAACCACTGTAAGGTTTCAACCAGAAAACTGGTATAGGTTTACTTATTTACTCTTATAATTTCTTGGACTTTCTACTCCAGACTAAATGATGTTGGAGTTATAAATAAAAATAGGAAAGAACAGAGGAAAAAATAACACAAAATATCACATCAACATTAAACAATAAAGGAAATTAAAACATTCCATAAAATGCCTAAAACAATAAGCCCTACCAGTATTGCTCAGTGGTTGAATGTCAACCTATGAACCAGGAGGTCATGGTTCGATCCCCCGTCAGGGCACATGCCCAGGTTGTGGGCACGATCCCCAGTGGGGGGAATGCAGGAGGCAGCCCATCAATGAGTCTCTCTCCTCATTGATGTTTCTATTTTTCTCTCCCTCTCGCTTTCTCTCTGAAATCAGTAAAAAATAATGTTAAAAAGTCTAAAACAATAAAATGAGGAGAAAAAAACTAAAATGATAAAATGCAGAAAAAATAATAAAATAGGGAGGATAAAGTAAAATGATAAAAGATACTATCAAAACTGTGACATTCTATATACAATACTGCATTATAAAATATATAACCAGTATTGAAAGTGATATTCATATAAGTTTAAGGATAAAAATTATGTTGTTGCCTTAAATATTCACTTTATTTAAAAACAAAATATTGTATAACTTATGGCATCATGCCTCTATGTTTCTTATTCAGCTAATCATCTATTTGGTAAGCACAGGCTGAAGTGAGAACTGAGTATCATGAAGAATAAAAATGGTAGAGAAGGCATGGTATTTTCAACATCGTTAAAACAATGATTCTGTTTAGAATATTTTCATGCTTCATTCGGTCTTGAGCTATTTTTTTTCGAACATGCCTTATTCTTCTCATGTGAACCTCTAAATTGCCATTGCAAAAGCAAGTGCCTTTTTTGTGTAGCGTTGTAGAGAAGGTACATAATCCATCACATCTGCATTTCTCCTCATGGAGAATTGTTCTGCTCTGAATGTTCTGATGGGTTGCATTAACCAAAGGAACATTTATTTGTAGCAACTAATTTACTAGGGCAGTTTCACCTAACACCTGGAACTAGCTGAAGCTTCTTTTATCTTAGTTGAATATTATGTTCAGGTATTTAAACATCTCATTTCATTGAGTGTAAAAACACATTTATGAACTATACAAGAAATTCCTTCAAACTAGGTTACATCCTAATATCTAATTACAAACTAATGAGATTCATATTTTTTGAAGCTGCCATAACAGATACTGTGCCTCCAAATGAATCACCTTTAGAGGTGATAAATGAAATCCAATTATGTTGCTATTACTCAAATAATTTTTCAAAACTCCCTTTTGAAATTTTCTTCAGAATTTGTTTATGAGATAGCAACATCAGTTATTTCCTTATAGTTTCAGAAGTGTGCTACTGAATTCATAAGACTTTGTCTAATAAATATGTCTACAAAAACCAAAGATTTGCAAATAGTAAGAGTGTGTGTGTGTGTGTGTGTGTGTGTGTGTGTGTGTATGTATTTATGGGTGTGAAAAGCAGCTCAGTTTGTAACTTTGAAATCAAATCAGTTTACAACTTTTGAAAGGTGAATCACATTAAGGTTAAATTTCATGAAATAACACTCTTTAATAAAGTTAAGTCAGTGGCTGCTTCTCCCATGTTGCACAAATCCAATTATAATTTATTTAAGTTTCATAATAGTGAGAGGTTTTTATAAACTGATTATACCAATACTTTTGTCTATGTCATTTAGAAAATTAGGACATTTACATTAGAAACTTGACTGCTACAAATGATCTAATAAAGATATAATTTAATTTATTAACTATAAGGTATATCAAATCAGGCTTATTGATATGTAAATTTACTCATTCCTGTTCATTTATTTGATCTTTTTTAGCTATTATTTTACTTTTTTAGATATATGACTTAAATATCAAATTGACGAAATTACTATGAATTAAAACAAAGGCAAAAAATAGGAAGATTTGACTTTGGGTGATGATAAACACAATGAAATACACAGATTATGTTATCATAGCATTGTACATTTGAAACCTATATAATTTTATTAACCAATGTCACCCCAATATATTTTAAAAAATAAAGGCAAAAATGGAAAATATTATTGAATGAGATAAAAATCAGTCAAAACTGACAGTGGAAAGCTTGTGGCTATATGGAAATCAGTGGCAATAATTAGTCAAAATACAACTTAGTGTTTTTGTTCATACTACCTAAAAACAAATATTTAATTTTCTGTCTCTCTTGCTTATGGGTAGATTTTTTATTTCTTTAATTGTCTTTTTTAATATCAAAGAGACTGAGTTTGGGCTTATATAAAACTAGCTATTAATACTGAGTTAACATTTAGGAAAAATTATGATTAGAAAATTTAAATTTTCAGATGAATATAAATGGTAAAATCTTTTTAGCAATCAGCTAATTTAAAAAATAGTAAACTACAAAAGTCATAGTGTTCTTCATATGTTTATAAATGTTATCATTTACTTAAATGTAAATTGTATTTGTGGCCTATTAACATCTGATACTATTGGGTAATGATGATAGAGGTTACTTCCTGGATACAATAGTTTATTGTAGACTCATTTCGACATCTGTGATGCCCACCAGAGATGAAGAAAAGAGTGATTTGGTATGACCAGAGCTTCAACATTCTCATTTGTTTCTTCCAAATCTTTTGACGTGTTTAATCTTTTAAATGCTCAGTTTGGCCATTGAGGAAGTACAACTAAGAACACTAATAATCTGCATATATAATGTAACATTGGCTAGCAGTAGTAAAGATTTGAAAGTATAGTTTTATGTGAAAATATATATTTATCACAATAATTTTATATCTATATATTTATAGTTTAAATAAGCCATATATATGGCTTAACACAAATGTGTTATATATCTATACAGCTAAACACAGGACAGATTAGATATTCTTCTCTAACTTTGGAAATATTAAGTTTTAGTTCTACAAAACATTTGTATTTACAGTGAATATTATGATTTTCTCCACTTAGCTACAGATTCCTTTCAGATCTTTTTCCTGTTTTTGTATGGAGTTTAATTTTACATGGCCAACTGTACTCAATTATTCAACAGTTCATGCATTTTGAAAAGGAATGATATCTTACCACATTATTCTCTAATGAATAAGAGTTGCTTTTGCATTCTAATCTTAGTGCTTTATTTCCTTGGGGGTCTGAAATAGAGCTTGGCATTCTTGTTTTTTACATTTGTTAAAAATTTTCTCCATTTTATATGGAAATGAATATTTCCCCTCTAGTGCCTGGATTAACTTTCCTAATTATTTTATCAAGTATATTCTTGTTCATAAATATATGCTAAAGAGAATTAAATATTAAAACCTAATATGTAAAAGACCAATTTCTACAATCTCTTGAAAAACAAAATCATTATTTGTAGATTCTCAGTGCAATAGGGATGAAAACTTGGCTGCTTAAGATTTAGTTTTGGTCAGTTTCATGAAAAGACAAAATAGTGCTTACCTTTTTAAAAAATATACTTTTATTGATTTCAGAGAAGAAAGGAGAGGGAGAGAGGGGTAGAAACATCAAAGATGAGAATCATTGATTAACCGCCTCCTGCACACCCCATACTGGGGATCGAGCCCACAACCCGGGCATGTGCCCTGACCTGGAATCAAAACATGACCTCGTGGCTCATAGGTCAATGCTCAACCCCTGAGCCACAAGGTTGGACAGTGTTTACTTTTTTTTTTTGAAACAAAATTTCCTTATTGGTAGGTGTGTGATAGTGATTTTGAACTCTGAGAAAAATTGTTTTTTAAATCCCTGTTATATGTAGATAGTTTTTTTTTATATGTTCACTAAAATAAACTTCACTATAGTACAGAATTCTGGTAACAGTAGGAATTTGAGAGATTAAAGATTTCCTCTTTAAACAGGTTTAAGAATTAAAGTAATAAAAGAGGGAAAAGTAATATCTTTACTTACATATCTATGAATATAGATATATATTTATAATCTATCATTTTTTACCCAAAAGTATAAAACTGGACTTGAAATAAATAGTTAAAAGTCTTAAGATCTTATTCTTAAGAAATATGTAAAATAACTAAAATCCCTCATAATCAAGCTTGAAGCTATCATTTCTTCAGTAATGTTTGTAAATATCTAGCAATGCACATCTTTAAAAATATTTATGTATAGTGACATGATTATTTTAGTTGTAACTGAAGCACCAATTTAATGTTGCTTAAGTAATGAGATGCTATTGACTCACAAAATTTAGAATGAAGAGCTCATTGGTGTCACTAAAAATCTGTGTTTTTTTTTTTTCTTTCCCCCGATTTTTCTGCTTTGTCTACTGTAGTGTAAAATTTATCTTCATCTTCAAACTGGCTTCCCTTGTGGTGGTGATATATCTGCCAACAGCTGCTGTGGCTGTATGCATCTTTATTCGTGTCTGGTGCGGACAAATAAATGATATTTGTTCCCCTGCCTTCAAAGCAAGTGTCCTGAAATCCATTCTAATTGGACAGGCTCAGATCCCATCTGCCACCCCTGAAACACCCAGCCAGTCAAGACATCCCCATGTACCAGATCATGAGGTTGATTTTAGCTTTCTCTTAAAATCAGAAGCCACGTGGATGAGGGGCAGGATATGCCATAGGAAAGGA